CTCCCAAGAAAAGTCTTCGCAGAGATGTTGGCCAGAGTCGCTGCGGAATAATTGACTCTAAGATACAAGAAGTGCAGTGTAGCTTTAGGTCAGGCTAAAACACCTCTGACCAGATTTTCGTCTTGTGCCGATGTTGAGAAATTGTGGGAGTTGGCTCATTCGGTTTACATGTGTTTTGTGGATCTGAAGAAAGCCTATTACCTCATCCGGTGCAGCAAGCTTTCAGAGCGTCTACAAACATATGGGATCGATGGCCAGTTGCTACGAGCCATCCAGTCACTATCTGTTGATATTAGGTGGTGTACCAGAGTAAATGGCATCAAATTGGGACCTTCCATCGTTGGCACTGGTCTCCGGCAATGCTGCTTTCTGTTTTCTCTTCTGTTGTGTTATGCATGAATAGAACAATGAAGCGCAGCCAGGGCTACGAGAGTGTCAGCGTAAGAGATGTTAAGGAGGATAAAATTGCTGTGAACAAACATTGTTTTGTTGACATTTTTTGAGATTAATCACCATCGCTCTCTGGAAAGGTTCGCAGCCTAGTGCGACGTATCCGATACGCGTGTGTGAATGTGTCTAAAACGAAAAGCCTAGTGCTTTCTCATTTTTTACTGCTGCGCCTACAGTTAAACGGAGAAACGGTGGAACAGGTGAGTAGGTTCACATGCCTCGGAGTCATGTTTCCTGGTGATTGAAAATGGGAGGGATATACTGACCAGAAAGTTAGAATGACCTGCGACGTTCTGTGGGAACAGTTATGACAGACCTCAGAGCTAAGTTTGAACGCTATGCTGTTTCTGTTTAAATCGATTTTCATCCTGATACTCATTTGTGGTCCGGAGTCGTAGGCCGTGACTGAACGCTTCGGGATTTATTGGGGCGAAAGATTTTTAGATGATTATCTCTGTGGCGAGGCGTTTCCTTTTGATTCAGGCCATGAATTAGGCAATGAAATATTTGAAACACTTTCGTTTCTAACGAATACTTTTAAGGTGCTCAGAAATTCGCTGCACCTCGTTGAATAGTTCTGCATAACGCCTCTCCGTCGAGTTGTCCATAGTTGCCTATTTCAGTGGTCCCCAGCTTCGACATAGTGGCAGCTTCAGAATCCTGCCTTAAACCATTGATTCCGCTTTACACGGACACGACAGGT